CGCAGCGCCTGGTGGGGTGCAGTGTGGTGCCCGCAGCGCCTGGTGGGGTGCAGTGTGGTGCCCGCAGCGCCTGGTGGGGTGCAGTGTGGTGCCCGCAGCGCCTGGTGGGGTGCAGTGTGGTGCCCGCAGCGCCTGGTGCCCGCGGCTCGTGTGGGCCGACGTCCCGGGCTGCCCGGCTAGCCCGTGCCTGTTCCTTCCAGAGAAAGCAAAGAGCTGGCCGACCTGGCCCGGCTGCACCCCTCCGGCTGTGCCGCGAACGGCCTGAACCCCAACCTCATGGTGACCGGGGGCCCGGCGCTGGCAGGCTCCGGCCGCTGGTCCGCCGACCCCGCCGCCCACCTGGCCACGCACCCCTGGCTGCCCCGGTCCAGCAGCACGTCCATGTGGCTGGCCGGACACCCCTACGGTGAGTGGGTCCTTTCCCCTGCCCTGGGGGGAGGGGCAGGCGGTGGGGAGGGGGTGTCGGCGGGCGGGGAGGGCCAGGCCAGCTCAGCTTGCTGCTGCCTTCTTGGGGGGCTGCCTCCTCTCTCTCTCACTTGTCCAGGAGGGTTACTATGACGGCAGTCTGGGGGGGGGGTGCCCAGGGTGGGCAGCTGGGGGCGTCCAGCCAGCCCTCGCCCCTCAGCTTCCTGCACGGGGGCTGGGGGAGTGGGCAGGGAAGGGCTGGGCTGGGGTCCCCAGCAACGACGTGGGCCTGGATCTCTCCTAGGCTTGGCCCCCCCATCTCTGCACCAGGGCATGGCGCCCGCCTTCCCGCCCGGCCTGGGGGGCTCCCTGCCCTCAGCCTACCAGTTCGTCAGGGACCCCCAGTCCGGCCAGCTGGTGGTGGTCCCCAGCGACCACCTGCCTCACCTGGGTAAGTGCTGGCCTCACCCAGAGTGCCAGGGTCTCCTGCAGGGCGCGGGGGGGGGGGGGCAGCAGGCAGTCAGGCTCAGAGAGGGCCTTCCACATGTGATAAAATCAGGGTCCTGGGGTAAGCTCCACTGGGATCCCACCCAGAACCCACGTGGAGCACCAGAACCAGGGCCACTGGACAGGCACGGACACCCCCACCTCCGCGCCCCCTCCCTCAGCACCCACTTGGCAGCCCCTGGGTGCAGTGGGGGGAGGGGTGGGGACCCATGTGGGCGCGCTCCAGCCTGAGGCTGCAGGGACGGGCGGGGGGGGCGGACGGGACCCCTGTGAGGCCCCTCTGTGGTGGCGGGTGCCCGGTCGGTGTGCCTCACTGTGTCTCTCCTTCGCCCGCAGCGGAGCTGATGGAGCGGGCCGCGGTGCCGCCCCTCTGGCCCGCCCTGTACCCCCCGGGCCGCAGCTCCCTGCACCACGCCCAGCAGCTGCAGCTCTTCTCCCAGCAGCACTTCCTGCGGCAGCAGGAGCTCCTGTACCTGCAGCAGCAGGCAGCCCAGGCGCTGGAGCTGCAGCGGAGCGCCCAGCTGGTGGTGAGCAGGGGCGGGGCTGCCGGGCTCTGTGGGTCACTGAGGTCAACTAGCAGATCGCCAATCGGTCATGGACCGTGGGGGTGGGGGAGAGAAGAAACGAGAGGCTGGTGGCCAGGGAGGGCCTCCTGGAAGAGATGGCGTTTACCCAGAGACCTAAAGGAGTCCGTGGTGGAGGGTCCCCTGGCCAGAGGGCACCGTGGTGTGAGCCAGGCCCAGAGGTGGGCAGAGGGCACCGCGTGTGAGCCAGGCCCAGAGGTGGGCAGAGCTTGGCCGGGCTGGGAAGCTGTGGCAGGCGAGGCGGCCTGTGAACCGGGGGGTTCGGGTGGGACCGCGAAGGGATATCGCAGGGGGCTCCTGCAGTGTCCCCGTGCCCTGCTGGCCGTCCCCGCGAAGGCCGGGCTCCCCTGGGCTGGGGCTGGCCTCGGACATCCGCCTTGCTGCATCCCCAAGATGGGCTCCCCACGCCCCTGCCTCCTCGCAGGCAGTCCGGGACGCCTGTCCCTCCTCGTGCAGCGGCCATCGGGAGGGGTTGGCGGGTGGCCCGTGCAGCCGAGGGCACGTCGGTGTGAGCCTCACTCTGGCACGCCTGGCTGTGTGCCCTTGGACCATGGCCTCCCCTCTCAGGGATTCCAGTTTCCTCTGGAGAGGGGGCTGCCGGCTCCTGGGTCACGTGGCTGGTCAGTGAGGACGAGTGGCCGTGCGGGCTGGCGCTCGGAGCGTGTCTCCCCCCGCCCCTTGTGTGTGTGTGTGTGTGTGTGTGTGTGTGTGTGTACACGTGTGGATGGCTCGGCCTCGTGGCCACTGGCTGCCCTTGAGTAAGGTGACCCAGACATCCCGCTTTTTATTTTTTAATTTAAAAAAAATATATCTTCTTGATTTTTTTACAGAGAGGAAGGGAGAGAGAGGGATAGAGAGTTAGAAACATCGATGAGAAACAGCTGCCTCTTGCACACGCCCCCACTAGGGATGTGCCCGCCACCAAGGTACATGCTCTTGTCCGAAATCGAACCCGGGACCTCTCAGTCCGCAGGCAGATGCTTTATCCACTGAGCCAAACCGGTTTCGGCACGTTCCGCTTTTTAACAATTTATCCCGCGTCCCGTGGAGTCTTTAAAAAAAGGCTTTTCGGGATGCCGAAAGCGGACGTCTGGTCACCTGACTCTTGAGAGGGCTCCTGCCGGTATGCCCCTCCGCCTTGGGGAGCCCCCTGCCCGGGCTCCCCTTGCCCTCACTGAGGGGCCCGGGCGGGAGGCCCGCTTTGTCTGCCGGGTTCTGGAAGGAACACTGTGCTTGTTGCGCGCGCTCTGTGGCGGAATGTCCGCCTCGGCTGGGGGTGGTGTCGGTGGCTGCACCCCGGACCCGCCTGCTGCTCTCTGGGGGCCGGGGGCCCCGGGACCGGGCCGTGGTGCCGCTGCGCTGACCCCGCCTGCGGGCCCCTCCCCAGCAGGAGCGGCTGAAGGCCCAGGAGCACCGGGCGGAGATGGAGGAGAAGGTCAGCAAGCGGAGCCTGGAGGCCGCGGGGAAGGCCGGCCTGGCCGCTGCGGGCCCCGGGCTGCTGCCCCGGAAGCCGCCCGGCCTGGCCCCGGGCCCCGCGGGCACGTACGGCAAGGCCGTGAGCCCCCCGCCGTCGCCCCGCGCCTCCCCGGTGGCCGCCCTGAAGGCCAAGGTCATCCAGAAGCTGGAGGACGTGACCAAGCCGCCGCCCGCCTACGCCTACCCCGCCACGCCCAGCTCCCACCCCAGCAGCCCGCCGCCCGCCTCCCCGCCGCCCGCGCCCGGCATCGCCCGCAAGGAGGAGGCGCCCGAGAACGTGGTGGAGAAGAAGGACCTGGAGCTGGAGAAGGACGCCGCCAGCCCCTTCCAGGCCTTGTTCTCAGGTGGGCGTGCTCTCCACGCCCGTCTGCCCGAGTCTTTCATTGACCCATCCCGCCACTGCTCTGTGGAGGCTGGGGAGCGCCTCCCCCCTCGTCCCCGGGGGTCAGGGAGACAGGCGTGGTGGCAGAACGCACGCTGAGACCACGGGGCAGTCACGCCGACCGCAGTGCGGGGATCCCATCCCAGGCGGGACCCACCCCGCGTGCTGCAGGCACACACGCTCTTCCCCATCCTGGCGGCGGGGACGTGGCGTAGGTGGCCTGCGTGGGGCCTCAGGCCCACGGTCTTCCCGGGGCTGAGAGTGGGCGTGTGCCTGGGACACTGAGTTTAGAGCAGAGTCTGCCACCGGGACGCTGTGTGGTGGTGGGCAAGTGGCTGGCCCTCTCTGAGGAGCTTGATGCCACGCTGACGCTCAGCACCGAGCACGTACCCGGCCCCGGGCTCTCTGTGCCCCTGCGCCTCCCCCCCCCCCCCCCCCGTTACTCTTAAGCTCCTGCCACTTGCCCGGCTCGGGGGCCTGGGTGTGCTGGGCAGGTTCGCTCCCCCAGCCTGCTCTCGGGGAGATTTCACTCAAGGGCAGGAGTTCAGAGTAAAGTGGGGGGGGTGTATTACAGTTTTTATTTAACAACTTGGGTGCCCATCTTGGCTCTAACGGGGTGGGGTCCCTGTGCACGGAGGCCGGAGGCGCACAGGCTGGGGCACTGTTTGGGGTCTTAGTAGGCATTGGCTTCCGAACCAGCCGGGCCCTGGCCCTGTGCTGGGGGCGGGGCTGGAGGAAGTGCTGCCTGTGGGTCCCGCCTCTGAGTCTGAAGACCCCTGGGGCCAGGCTGGTGGCTGATGCCGCCAGGGTGAGATCCTGGCGGGATAGGGGGGTATGGCCTATCTCGGCTGGTGGGCGGGTGCTGGTGAGGGCGCAGGGATGGCGGGCGTGGCAGGCAGAGGGGCCCGCTGACCGGATGGCTGACTACCGTGTCCTTGCAGACATCCCGCCCCGGTACCCGTTCCCGGCGCTGCCGCCGCACTACGGGAGGCCCTACCCGTTCCTGCTGCAGCCCACCGCGGCCGCCGACGCCGACGGCCTGGCGCCCGACGTGCCGCTGCCGGCCGGCGGGCCCGAGCGCCTGGCACTGTCGCCCGAGGACAAGCCCCTCCGCCTGCCGCCCTCAGAGCTCCCGGCGCCGCTGCGGGAGGACCCCGCCGCCGAGCCGCTGGCCGAGCGGGAGGTGAAGGCGGAGGTGGAGGACGTGGACGAGGGCCCCGCGCAGCTGCCCGCCCTGGAGTCGCCGTTGGCACTGCGCCCCGAGGAGGCCCTGGCGGCCCCGAGCCCGGAGGGCGGCCGTGGAGGCGGCCTGCTGGACGCTCAGGCGCTGGGCGCCGGGGGGCAGGGCGGCGCGGAGCCCTCGGGGGGCCTGGACTTCGCCGAGGGGGCCGATGCGCCCATGGACTCGCCAGGTCGGACGGCATCCTGCACGGCCGTCCCGGACTTGGGGGGCCGGCTCACCCCAGAGATGCTGGTCGAGGCTAAGGAGGAGCCCGTGGAGGTGCCCGTGGACGTGCCCATGGCCGTGGCCGTGGCGGAGGCAGTGCCCGAGGAAGACCTGGCCCAGGCAGCTCCCAGCGAGCCCCAGCCCAGCCTGGAGCTGGGTGACTGTGACATGCCGCCCGGGGAGGGCCCATGTCTGGGCCTGGAGGCCCTGGAGGCCCAGGAGGCGGCACCGGAGCCCGGCAGCGCCTGCTTCCCGGAAGAGGAGGGCTCCGACCGGTTCCCGCCCGGCCTGGAGGACCCGCTGGCTGGCATGAACGTCCTGGCGGCGGCCGCGGAGCTGCCCCAGGCCCGGCCCCTGCCCTCCCCGGGTGCCGGAGCCCAGGCCCTGGAGCAGCTGGAGGCGGCGCAGAGCCTGGCGCTGGAGCAGAGCTTCCTGCACGGCATCACCCTGCTGAGCGAGATCGCTGAGCTGGAGCTGGAGCGGAGGAGCCAGGACGGCACCGGTGAGCTGGGCTGGGCGCGGTGGTGTGCGTGTGCGTGCGTGTGTGTGTGTGTGTGTGTGTGTGTGTGTGTGATTTTACAAGATTTAAACGCTCTGGCCCTGGCTGATTTTGCTCGGGGGGGCAGAGTGTTGGCCTGCGGACTGAAGGGTCCGATTCCTGTCTAAGGCACGCACCTCGGCCCAGGTCCAGGTCGGTGCAAGAGGCGGCATTGACATTTCTCTCTGTTTCCCTCTCCCTTCCGCGCGCTCTCTACAAATCAATGGAAAAATATCTTCGGGTGAGAATTAAAAAAAAAAAAGATTTAAACGTTTTAAAAACACCCAGGACATGGCTTATTCGTATTTACTGAAACCTTTTTTTGGTAAAATATACATAAAGCTTGTCACCGTGACTGTTTCCAAGTGTCCAGGTCAACAGGTTGTGGGTTCCCGTTGTTCAGCCCGTCTGAGGGGTTCTCAGGGGTGACTTTTCTCTTGTTCTGTCCGTGTGAGTTTGTATTAGCGAGATCCTTTGGGTTGCCAGGGGCAGAAATTCATTTTAACTGGCTTAGAAAAAGCAGGACATTTATTGGCTCTTGGAACTGAGGGACAGCAGTGATTAGATCAATATAGCTTCAGGTACAGCTGGATCCAGGGGCTCAAGCCAAGTTATCAGGAGCCCACCTTGTCCTCGTCCCTCCCTCCCTGTGCTCCATGTTCCTCTCTGTTGGCCTCACTCAGGGCAGGCCCACTGTTCTCATGGGGCGGGGAGGCATATCCACTCCAGGCCCGGGGCCTCTCAGCTCAGCAGCCTCCAGAAGAGGCACCCGGTCCTGGCAGCTCTGGCAAAGGGGCCACCATCCGCTGGCTCTGGGGTTCATGGCTTTTGCAGAAGTGCCCCCTTGGGGCCCAGGGGATGGAAAGGACCGGACTGAGCATGCTTCACCTTGAGGTGAAGGGGGGCCTCCAACGGAAGCGGGGTGCCCTCAGCGAAAGGGCTGGGCGCAAAACGAAGTGCAACATAGAACCTGGGCGCTCCCAGGACTGTGTGGAGAGGGGGCTGTGGGTCACAGCCTCGAGGGCAGGGGGCGCCGGCGGCCGTGGCCGTGGCGGTGATGACGGCAGCGCGGCGTCCGGGCTGGCTTCCTCTAGTGCGGCTTCTACTCTCATTTCTAACCTGGGACGTTCGGTCAGCAGTGCTCAGATCCCGCTCAGTGTAGGGTCTTTACTAACCAGCTTTCGGATTTTTTAAAAACGGGTGCGTGTTTAATATTTGGGACATTTGTGTTTTTCATTTTACTTAGTTAACTTTATTTTTCTTGTTAGTCCTCACCTGAGGATATTTTTTTCCATTGTTTTTCAGAGGAGGAGGTAGGGGGAGAGGGAGAGACATGGATGTGAGAGAAACATTGTCTGGCTGCCTCCCACATGCACTGCAACCCAGGGAAAGGCCCTTGATCGGGAATCGAACCTGAGACCCTTTGGTTGATGCTCTAACCACTGAGCTACCGGCCAGGGCAGCGTTGATGTTTTCTGACTGTTCCTTACGGACTGCCCAGTTTCCGGCTTGTCCTCGCTGTTGGGCGTCTGCCTCCTTTCCTTGCCTGCTTCTTCCGGCTGTTGAGAGCGATGTGACCTTGCCCTTGCGGAAAGACCTCTGCCCGGCCGGCAGAGATTCTTGGTGGAGGGTTTTCAGGGGGGACTCCCGAGGGGGCTGAGGAGAGTCTGCAGTTTGGGGGCCGCCGCTCACCCGGCTCCTTTCGCACCTGCCTCGCTTCCTGCCTGCGGCCCTGGGGCCCTCGGTCAGCAGATGCTTGTTAGGCGTCTGCGGTGTTGGTGGCACGAGCTGCTGAGCCCAGCACGGCCCGGGGGGCAGGCGGGGCACCACTGGGATGGAGACACAGTGGAGGGGGCAGGGGGTCTCCTAGGGGATGGCCAGGGAGGCCCCTCCTGATACGGGGACGTGAGGAAGTGAGGGCGGACGGCTCTTCTGGGGAAAACCGTTCAGGCCAGAGGCCAGCGGGCGCAGAGGCCGAGGGGAGTGTCTGGCGGAGAGAGCAGGGCGGTTGGGGCTGGAGTGGCCTGGGAGGGGGGTTGGGGAGGAGGTCGGGGGGGCAGTCTTGGGGGGCTTTCCCTTTGAATGGAGAGTCATCGGGGGCCATTCTGAGCTGGAGTGAGCTGGAGGGTAGGGCTACGTGGAGGCTCAGGCGGGGCCCTGGGTCCAGGCCAGGCGGGGTGCGGGAGGTGAGGAGGGAGGCTCTGAGCTGGGGAAGCTGCGGGTGGCGGTTAGTTTGGGCAGGAGAACAGCAGGTGGTTTGGATGCGGCTCTGAGGTGCCCAAAGCACTGTGGGTGTGGCTCTGCGGCGGGGGCCCCTGCTTCCCGCAGTGGCTGAAGGACAGCGCCAGTCCCCGCGGTTTCCCTTCAGAGCTGGGCAGTGGGGCTAGTGGTGAGCATGGGGTGCTCCTCCCATGGCCACGCCATTTCCTGAGCCACCAGGCCTCCCACGTGGCTGCCCACCGAGTGAACACCCTCCCCGCTGCCAGCCTCGGCTCACGGGTGCCGCACGTCAGCGCTCTGGCCCGGTCACATTGCTGAGGGCCACCGCAGACTTCTTTACCTTGACCCGCGTCTTTCAAGACTATCTCTAAGTCAGGCCACATTCTAAGGGGCTGGGTTCAGTCTTCAACGTGTGATTTTGGGGGGACACAGTCACCGTAGCAGCTGGTCTCGGGCTGCACTGGGGTGTCGGTCCTGAGAGCCCCGGCAAGACCGGCTCGTTGGCCGGGAAGGGGTGACAAGCCCCCGTGGGCCCTCCTCTGCCCGGAGCAGCCGTACCCAGCAGCCCGGTCCTGCACGGGGCCACCTCGGGGTCCCTGTGACCCCCCACGGGGCTGATGGGTTCAGCGCTCGGGGGCCTCAGTTTCCATCAGGAGAGAGAGGAGCCAGCCAGGGGCTCAGTGGGCAGTGACAGGGCTGTCCGGCTGGGGGCGCTGCTGACACCTCGTGGGAAGGCAGCCGGCAGCACCCCCAGAGCCCGCGCGGAGGGGCGGGGCCCCCGGTGAGGAGCGGGCTCTGGCAGCGTGATTACTCACGTCGGCCTCGTGGAGCCGTACACATGGGACAGTCACGTGTTAGATGCCAGTGGTCACGTGTTACACGCCAGAGAAAATGTCAGTTAAGTCAGAACTCCGCTCACTTAGTCTGAGAGTGACCGGGGCGCCGAGGGGCTGGGCTGCAGCACCCAGTCCTGTCGGGCACAGCGGGGCGGCTCACCGGCCTCTGTCGTAGGTGCGGAGCGGGGCCTGGCGGTGCGGCCCTCGCTGGAGAGCCTGCTGGCGGCCAGCAGCCACATGCTCAAGGAGGTGCTGGACAGCCCCTTCGTGGACCCGCTCAAGAGCCTGCGGCTGCCGCGGGAGCTGAACCCCAACAAGAAGTACAGCTGGATGCAGAAGAAGGAGGAGCGGGTGAGGCGATCTGGGCTGCGCGGTGGGGCTGAGACGGTCCCCCCGGAGACGACCTTGGGGCTTGGCTGGCCTGGAGCTGGAAGGGCTGACCCAGGTCCAGCTCCCACCGCCGCTCGCCGTGCGGTCCTGGCAAGCTGTGGCGTATTTCTGGGCCTCGGTTTACCTGTGGGTGCGTCCCGCGGCGGCAGCCTGACGGGCGGAAGAGGGGGCCTGGCTGTGCCCCTGGCTCCTGGCGGCTTGGGCAGTGGCTTCGGCCTCTGAGCCTCCCTCTGTGGCGGGTGCTGCGGTGGCCGAGGCCTGAGCTGCTGTTCCCGGTCAGCTGGCCTGACGCAGCCGCCGAAGCTGGTTTTCGGTCCCTGTCCCGCAGAGGAGGTGTCTGTGCTGCCCAAGGCCACGGCTAGAAGGCGGCAGGGGGCATCTGAGCTGGGCGCCTGGTCTTGGCCATGAAGCCTCGTGCCCCCCTGAGCCAGGCGCCTGATGAGGCGGCGGGAGCCAGCGGGTCGGCGTCCTCACCTCCATCTCCCTCTTCCCCCCAGATGTTCGCCATGAAGTCCTCCCTGGAGCACATGGACGCCATGGAGCTGGACTTCCGCATGCGGCTGGCCGAGGTGCAGCGGCAGTACAAGGAGAAGCAGCGGGAGCTGGTGAAGCTGCAGCGGCGCCGGGAGTCTGAGTGAGTGCCCGCCGCGCCCCGCCCCGCCCGCCCGGGCCCGCGTGGCGCTCAGTAGGTCCGCTGTGCAGGCCGGCGAGGTGTGTGTGCACCGAGTGATGTGGGCGCGTCGCCTAGCCCAGCGTGTGATTCTCTTTAAGGGACAGGCTCGAGGAACCCCATAGAAGCTTGGCACGCAGAGGCCCTGGCAGGCCGCGGAAACGGACCCACGCCCTGAGCGCCCTGTCGCCCCCTCGCAAGAGAGGGAAGAGCCGCAACAGTAGCGGAAAGTAAGGCTGGCCCCTCGGGGGTCGGGGACCGGCAGAGCTCGGAGGGGGGCGTGCGGGCCCGCGCAGGGCCTGCGTCAGGGCGCTGGGACCTCAGCGAGAGAGGGCAAGCCAGGGGCATGGGGACCGCACAGGCGGGCTCACCCGCCGGGCGCGCAGCCCCATGCTCAGCCGCGGGCAGGTGGCCCCAGCGAGCGGCTTCGGGGCCGTTGCCCAAACGTCTCACACCTCGTCCTGCCGCGCCTGCTTCCTCCGTGGCTCGCAACCAGCTCCTACTCTTCTCCTGCCCCTCGCATGGCGGGCCGGCCGAGCCCAGTCCTGGGGGAGGGCTCCAGCTTGTGTGGTCACTCGGTCTCTGGTTCTCTGTGCCGGGCAGTGCCATTCCCGCCCCCTGGCCGGACCCTGGCCGCCTCCTCTGTGCACTCTGGGCACAAGCCCCTGGAGTGGCAGTGGAGGTTCCGTGGGGCCCCTCGGGGGCCCCTTGAAGGCAGGCCAGACTGAGAGCTTCTCTGCCGGCCGGGCGGGGGCAGGGAGGGTGCTGTGGCCGCCCTGGTGCCGGGCAGCCGGAGCTGAAGGAGGCCCAATCAGGGAGACATGGCGTGCGCCTTAGCCTGTCACTTCAGTGCAGGTGACGCTAGGTGGCCTGGTGCTTGGCCCGAGGGAGCAGGGGGCACCGGAGAGTCGGGGTCTGCCACAGGTCTCCTCAGGAGCAGGCAGCCCCGAGCCCCCGGGATTGCACGGAGCTTTCCTGGATGAGGTTGACGGAGGATGGAGAAGGAGAAACGCCCACCAGCCATGCAGGAGGGAGAGCAGGTCCTGGGGAGGAGAGCGGGCGGGCCGACAGTACGCACCCCACAGGGTAGGAGCATGGAACCTGGGGGTTGCGCTTTCTGCTTCTGAGCCCCAGCTTCAACCTTTGCTGTGACCCTGGCCAGGTGTTGGCTTTTTCAAGCCTCAGATTCATCTATGAAAAATAGTACATTGCTTGGCCAGTGTGGCTCAGTGGATAGGGTGTCAGGCTGTGGACCGAAGGGTTCTGAGTTTGATTCCGGTCAAGGGCACGTAGTATGTTAGTTGCAGGCTCCTCCCTGGTCGGAGCTCGTGCAGGAGACAACCAATCAATGTGTTTCTCTCACATGTTTCTGTCTTTCCCTTTCCCATTTTTCCTAAAAACCAATGGAAAAAATCCTCAGATGAGGATAAACAACAGCAAAATAGCACAGAGAACAAAGCCTTGCCCTGTGGCTAAAATATAAAGCATAACACCGGAGGAGACAGAGTGGGCACCAGGAAAGTTAGCTGCTCTTCCTGTTATTCCTTGCTCAGAGCAGCCAAGATATATCCTCAACAGGACACGTCCCAACTGCTCACTCTGAAGAGTACGGGGGCTAGTCAGGGGCTTCCTTCTTGTAAGCTCTGGATTTTGGTCACCCTCCTCTCAGGTGGATGTCCTGGGCATTTCTGATCCTTGCTCCTGGCACATTTTGGTTGAAGAGGCAAAGCTGTGTGTGTGAGCATGTGTGAGGGACATGGGAGAAGGGCCAGCAGAGGCAACTGCCGTGGAGTTTTTCTTCTTTCCCATTCACAAATCTCCCAGAATCCCAGCCCCATAGTTCCACAGGACTGGCTACTGTGTCGTCACTGTCTGTGCTTCACCATCCAGAGCCCACCCTCGGGGCCACGAGGGTGGGCTGCAGCCCCGAGCGCTGCCCGACCGGGCGCTGACCAACGGTGCCTCTGGTTGCAGGCTGAGCAGCAAGCCCCTGCTGGCATCGGAGGCCTTCGAGCTGGGAGCGGGCGTGAGGAAGAGGCACAAGGGGCCTGAGGAGGAACACGACGCCCTCGTGGGAACCGGGAAAGCAAGGGGGCGGAGCCAGCCTTGGGACGAGCACGAAGCGCCATCGGACTTCCTGAGTCAGGTGAGGAACCCACCTCCCACCCCTCCCACCGCAGGCAGCCCCGTGCTGCAGAGGAACTGGAGAAACGGTTGCCTTTGGGTCTCCAGCCTGCCTCCTTGTCCAGAGGAAATGACGGCCGGAGACTTACCACAGCAGCACAGCCTCAGGCAGAGCTGAGCCTGACGCTTGCAGTTGGTGTTTTTAACCCGATAGCGCAATTACACTGTTTAACGGTATAATTGTTTAATGAGCGGCTCCCCGGCCTGTAGTTCGCAGGAATAAGGGCCTGATGCCGTTGTAATTTCCTTGGTGAGCTCCGCAGATGTAGCGGGTGGAGAGCCAGCTCCTTGAGTTTCCTTCTTTATTTATTTTTTAATTAAAAAAAAAAATGTTTTATTGATTTTTTTACAGAGAGGAAAAGAGAGAAGGATAGAGAGTTAGAAACATCAATGAGAGAAAATCATTGATCAGCTGCCTCTTGCACACCCCCTACTGGGGATGTGCCTGCAACCAAGGTCCATGCCCTTGACTGAAATCGAACCTGGGACCCTTCAGTCCGCAGGCCAACGCTCTATCCACTGAGCCAAACCGGTTTCGGCTGATTTTCCTTCTTTCTGCAGAGCATGGAAACCATCCCCTCAGAGCCCATGCCTCTCAGTCCTCAGTCCACCTTGTGTCCCTCCTGCAGAGCCCTGGGGGCTGTTGGGTTCCGTGGCCCCCGGAGGGAAGTGCTCGGGTCAGGGATGTGGGGGTGAGGAAAAGAGCCAGGTGGTACGCCAGCACCGGCCTTCTACTCTCCAGTGGTGAAGGGCACTTTTTATTATTTATTTTTATTTTTTATTTTATTGATTTTTTTACAGAGCGAAAGGAAGGGAGATAGAGAGCTAGAAACGTCGACGAGAGAGAAACATCGACCAGCTGCCTCTTGCACACCCCCTACTGGGGAGGTGCCCGCAACCAAGGTCCATGCCCTTGACCAGAATCGAACCTGGGACCTTTCAGTCCGCAGACCGATGCTCTACCACTGAGCCAAACCAGCTTCGGCTGAAAAGCACTTTTGTTGTTAAATGATGCTGTCCCAACTTTTTTTTTTCCTTACGAGATGTTATCTGGTTAAAGAAAATCGAGCTAAGATATTCAAATGAGGGGCATTATGGCTTGGAAGCTGCCCATTTCACTTCAGCCACAAATGGCTCCAGCTGATGAGAGGGAAGGCGGGAGCTTAATCTTGGAAATCTCTGAGCTCGGCTCCGGGCGTCCCAGGCACGCTCCCGGCGTTTTCTTGGCAGCCGTGGCCGGAGTTGGATGGGCCAGGCAGGCCTCTTCGCCAGCCGTTTAGGTGGCTGTGATAAGCAGATGAGCCGGGCTGTGATCTGGGTGTTCGATCTTGGTTCCTGTCGTCCTCCCTCAATCCAGCTGGCTGCTCCGGCTCGTTGGCAGCGCTGTTTCTCCGAGTGCTTCCCTCGGAGGCACCGGGCAGCACCCGGGAGCCAGGCCAGTGCCAGTGATCCTTGTCCCTGGCTGTTTGCTTGGGTCCGTGTGCCTTACCTCGGTTCCTCTGCAGAGCAACCTTGTGGGAGCTCGTCCACAGCTGTCCCCATTTCACAGAGTAGGAGAATCGAGGCTAGGAGGAGTGAAGCAGCGGGTCAGAAACCGCAGAGGCAGACAGGGGAGCCGGAGTCGGGTTCGTCAAAGCTTGTCCACGGAGACCCGCTGCCCCGTGGGGGTCTGGTGTCTTAACCCAGGACTTCCCCCCTTCCCTCTCCAGCTGAAGATTAAGAAGAAGAAGATGGCCAGCGACCAGGAGCAGTTGGCAAGCAAGCTGGACAAGGCCCTGTCCCTCACCAGGCAGGACAAGCTGAAGTCCCCCTTCAAGTTCTCGGACAGTTGTGGGGGGAAGGCCAAGCCGGGCGGGGGCTGCGGCCGGTACCTGACGCCCTACGAGAGCCTGCTGGGCAAGGACAGGAGGGCGCTGGCCAAAGGCCTCGGCCTGTCGCTCAAAGCCTCCCGAGAAGGTAAACACAAACGGGCCTCCAGAGCCAGGAAGATGGAGGCGGGCTTCAAGGCCCGGGGCCAGCCCAAGTCGGCCCACTCCCCGTTCGCCTCGGAAGTGAGCAGTTACTCCTACAGTAAGTAGCGGGTGCCGCGCCCCTCCGTGCGCTGCTCCTCGTCTCTGTCTGTCTGGGGTTCTCCAAGGTCTTGCCTGTCTGCTCCGCGCCAGGCCGGAAGTGGGCTCCCTGCCGGAAGTGGGTCCCGTGAAGCGGAAGTGCCTGCAGTGGCTGCGGCCATATTGGGCGGCCTCCAGGGATTGGCGGAGGGAGCGGAAGTCCGCCTGCCCACTGGGGCTGGCCTTCCGGAAAGCCGTGAAGGCGGAGGCCTTGTGCCATAGAGTTTCGGGCTGTCCTGCCTAGAGCGGCCGCTCAGGACCATAGAGGTGCTCCCGCCGCCTCAGCCACGGGCGGCTCCCCGCCCTGCCCGCCGCGGGTCGGTGACCACGTCTGATGGGCGCTCGCCAGGCGGGAGCCGCGCGAGGGGCGGTGCGGGCGGCGTTCCACGTGGTGTGTGTGACGGCCATCCAGGCGGCCACCATGCTGTCCCTGAGGACGTGCTGAGGCGGCGAGGCTGGCCGCGCAGGCGGGGGAGTCGGGGCAGGATGAGGCCCAGGACGGTCGCTGCTTGGCGCAGAGGGCGGCTGAGCCCGCGAGCGCCGCTGGGGGCCTGGGCTGAGCCTCATGCGCCGGCGCCCCTTCCCCGGGAACTCGGGCCACGTTTCCCGGGTCGCGGGTCAGCCCGGCGCCTCTCCGCGGCCTGTGGCGCCCGCCCCGCGGCCTGACGTGGAGCGGGGTCGGTGTTGTGGGCAGGGGACGCGGTGCCCAGGCTGGCTGGCTGGATGGATGGAGCCCAGGCTGGCTGGATGGATGGATGGAGCCCAGCGGGTGGCGGGGCAGGGCCCAGGCTGTGGCTGGGACAGGGCTCTCCCCTGGTGGCTGCTGGGATCTGCGGCCGGGCTTCTGATCGGCGCTTTGTGGGTCAGTGGGCGACGGGGTTTCGATGTCCAGGGCAAAACGGACGTCTTTAACGGTACCAGCACGTGTGTGTGCCTGGACGAAGAGGAGGGTTGGAACGGGCCTGCAGCCGTGGTGCGCTGGCAGGGAGTCGCGCTGGTGAAGGCCGGCCTGGCACCCTGCAGGAGGCGGCGCTGCGGAGGGTGCTGGGTGCGTGCGGGACCGCGATGGGCTGGCCTTCAGGGCCGGTCCTCGGGGGCAGGCAGGCCCGGGCCTCCGTGCTGAGGACAAGCGCGCAGGATCGGCCCGGAGGAGGACGGAAGGCCTTTAGCCCTGGGTGACTGCCCGGGCTGGTTGTGGAATGAAGAGGGTGTGGGAGGCTTGCTGCTCCTTTAATCTTTCACAGGAGGGCTGGCGGGTGTGGCCTGGCTGGTTGGCCGAAGAGCCCTTCCCCCACTTCCATGTGGACGTGGTAGTCAGGCCAGCGCTGAGCTTGGCCCTAGCCCCGGGGCCTGTCCCAGCTGCTGAGTCCACGGAGCAGCTGTGAGCACTGGCCACGTCAGGTTGCCAGTTCTACTCGGTTCCGTCTTCGCTGCCGGGTGAGGGAGATGGGCTGGCATCGCGCCGTCGCGGGCTGGGTGGTGCAGGAGGCAGCTGGCCGTGGCAAAGGAGAGCGAGGCCGGACTGGGGTGCTCTGGCCAGCTGTGCTGCGCCCGCAGGAGAGGGGTGGGAGGCCCCGCCCTCCTGCCCTTTCTTTCCCGGAGGTAGGCTTGGGTGGCGTGCCTGGTGGGAAGCCAGGTTGGCCCTGGTTACCAGTTTGGGATGGAGCTCACAGGAGGCAGAGCCGCGGCCAGGGGCCTGGCAGGGCCTGGCGGGGCTCATCCTCGTCTGTCCTTTCCAGAGCTGCCGGCCAGACGGCCGTCCTGCGTTGGGTCTCGGTGGGAGTGGGAGGCGTAGATGGAGGAGGAGGAGCTGGAGGACCTCCCCTCCGCCCGAGGGGCTGCTCTTGGCCTTGCAGGTGGCCGTCATACCCGAGCTGTGGTGTGGCCACTGGTGTCCCTGTGGCCAGGCTCCAGGTGGACATGACAGGTCAGGGGAGCAGCCGGGCGCAGAGCCCGTGCTTCAGGGAAGCCGTGTTCGACAGCCCCTGTGTAAAACGGGTCAGAGCTGTGTATGCTGGGGGGGGGGGGCAGAGTTATGCCCACTTGACAGCTCCCTCCCCACAGCCTGGGGTGGTCCTCATGCAGATGGAGACCTTGGCCTCACCCGGGAGTGAGGCTGAGGCTGGGGTGCCGGCAGCGGTGTGGGGGACCGGCTGTCTGGCAGGGAGATAAGAAAGAAGAAGGAGCATCGTTTGCCAGTTTGCTTGGTATGACTGCTGTGTCCCGCCTGTTTCAGGCCGCCTCGGCGACACTGCTAAGCGGCAGGCGGGAAGAGTGGTGCGTGGCTAAGTGCCCGCGCCCCTGGGAGCTGGCACGCTGAGGGGCAGGGGAGGGCACTGGAGCCCGTCCCCTTCTGGGCCTGCCCCCCCGGGCTGCTGCGGTCCTGTAGGACGGCGGGCCGAGGCGACCTCCGTGGCCATGGCTGTGGCCGGGGAGAGTTTCCTGAGCAGGCTCCTCCCGCCCGGGGGGGCTGTGTGCCCAGGTGGCTGCTGTGCGCGGTGCCCGCGGCTCCCAGGGGAGAGGTGTCCGCCACTCGCTGCACGGCCAGCAGGCCGGGGGCCTCTCAGCTGCAGCACCGGGCGCCGGCTGATCACCCACAGACACACCAGCCCCTCCCGCCGCCCCAACTCACCTTCTCGCCAACTGCCTTGCCCGCAGATACTGACTCGGAGGAGGAGGAGGAGGAGGAGTTCCTGAAGGATGAGTGGGCCGCCCAGGGCCCCTCCGGCTCCAAGCTGACGTCCTCCCTGCTGTGCGGCATGGTGGCCAAGAGCGGCCCACCGGCCGGGGGCCCCACGCTGCCCAAGCGGGGCCTGGCGGCCGCCCGGACTCTGAAGCCCAAGCTGGCGGGCAGGAAGCAGCCGTTCTGCTTGCTGCTCCAGGAGGTCGAGGCCCGCTCCTCCTTCAGCGATTCGTCGGAGGACTCGTTTGACCAAGGTTACTAGCTCCACACACACACTCCTTCCGTGTTTCACAGCGAGAGTGGGAGCGGGTGAGCGTGAGTGCGAGTGCGTGCGGGAGCGAGCGAGCCGGGTGCGAGCGATGGCGCCGCTGGCGGCCGTCGGGTCTTGGCAGGTAGCCTGCCGTTCAGCTCTGCTAGGTATTTTACCTGGATCTGTGCCGATGCCGGGCTGGCTCTTTTTGAGCCGTTATACGGACTGATTTTAGTCTTCACCTCCTCCACTCGCCCGCCGCCCCATCCTGGCCTCCCCGTCCCGGGACGCAGGCCGGGGTGGGCGCGGCAGGGCTCCCAGGGACCTTTTGTAAACGGGATGTCGTGTGGGCGTGTGGCTCCATGTTTGTACGGGGCGGGGACACCAAGCTTTATTAAACATATTGAGTTCTTTTTAACTAAACCGTGTGCCTTGTCTCTCTTGCTGTGTCCTGATTAGACCGTTAGGTGCCGCTTCCCTCATTTCGTTCCTCCCCTCCCGCCCCCGCCCGGAAGGGGCAGCCGGAGTAACGCAGTCGCTGCTTTCCCTATTATCCAAATATCCCTGGAGCTGCAGGCATGCATTTCATGTTCGGGTTCAAAGCCAGCTGCTTTCACCTCCAGCATCATCTTTTGCTTTTTTTTTTTTTAGCTGCTTGTTTGTGTTTCGTTTCCTTAAAGCTCAGTTGCTCTGCATCAGTGCTTTCAAAACGCTCCCAAACCCCTGTTTGCTAACACGTTTTTGCCAGGAGGGGCTTGTGGGCAGGGCAGGTCAAGTGAGGGGCAAAGCCTAGCGCTGTGGGAGGAGCTCCGGCCGCAAGTCCAGCTCAGCCAAAGGGTCAGAGGTCAGCGTCAGTGCCCAGCGGCAGACTCCGCAGTGTGTCTTGCCCTGGGTTAGGGTTTGCTTCCGGGCGGATCCACACAGGGACCCAGAGCCCAGGCGGCACCCCGGGGTGAGGGAGGCCTGGGCGTGTCCGAGCCGCTGGGACCGGCCCTGCCCGGCCCCGGGTGAGTGCTGCCTGCTCCCAGCCTGGCTCTCACACGCCTGGTCTGCCTCCTTCCACACCTCCCCTCGGGGTGGCCCAGAGCCCTTTCAGGTGACCAGCAGGCGGCACAGCAGGGAGCCAGGTGCCCTTGGGGCGCACATTCTCCTGGGTAGCTTGCCAGCTGGCCTCGTCTCCCAAAGCCGCCCCCCTCCTGGCCACATGGGCCCTCCCTCCTGGCGGGTTTGCCACCACCCTTCCCCCTCCCCCCTCTCCCCTGGACTTGGATCCCCAAGTGCCTCCCTTCCACATATTCCCCTTCCCCTCAAGCCAGGGCACCAGCTTCCAAATTGTGGGGCGCTCCCGCTTCAGCTCCCACTCCGTAGAGAAGCCGTAGTCCCCTGGGTCCAGCAAGCAGCTCTTGGCCCCGAGACCCCAGACCAGGCCCGGGTGTGACAGGACAGACGGGTGTGGTGGGCGCGCGGGAGGGGCCCACTGCGCATGGCCGAGAGGTCTGCCCAGGGATATTTGGGTAATAGGGCCTTACTGACATGGTACTAAACCCTAATCGGCTTGGCTTTTCTAGTGTGTCTGCTTTCTCCCCCAGCAGCCTGACCATACCTTCACCCTTGCCCCCTACCCATGATGCTTTGAATGTCTGTTTTGGTCTCTTGCATTCGCTCTCACGCTGCACTCGGACGCAAAGTGAAGGCTGGGAGTAGGGCAGACGGCGCCGCGGGTCAGAGCTGGGCCGAGCCTGGCTCGTGGGTCCGTAGGTAGGCACCCCCTCTCCCTCGTGTCCCCCCCTGCACCTCCCTCCTTGGGGCTGCCCCATCGGCTATGGCAGCAGCGGGTCGCTTTGGCATTGATCGATCAGGTTTTGGAAAACCAAACCAAGTCACAGCAGCCAACCCCACGTACAGAGCGAGGAGGGGTATTTTTTTGTTCCGCTTTGTTTTTAAATAAAAGTTTCTCTGCATTTTCCTGCGTTTCTCCGTTGGGGCTTTTCCCCCCACCCTTGGCGAGCTGTGGCCTCAGGTGTGGACAGCACCCGAGAGGCTCTTTTCTGGGTTCCCCTGCCCTGTAGCCCGGTCCCCCCACAGCCAGGGGGAGCAGCCAGGAGGGCCTGCCGGGCTCCGTGGGGAGGCGGGAGGGCCTGGGAGACCACGGGCCTGTGGCCCCCAGTTGTGATGGGTTCACCCCTCTTGGCTTTTGCCTCTCGAACACTCCTCCAGCTCAGGGTGCCGGGACGGGGCTGCACTGGCTCTCCGGGGTCTGATGTGGGCGCTCCGACATCCAGACACCAGAGCCAGCCCTCCCCTCCGGGCCCTGCGGTGGAGACGCCCGGGGGAGCGGGTCCCAGAGCCTCCACACCTGAGCAGCTGCAGCAGGGAAGGCTGGCCCCCGTCCACCCCGAGTCCCCAGCCCGGCCAGCCCCCCCCGCCCCCCCAGGGGACCTGATGTGGGGGACCCAGGCGCTGCCGAAAGTCTGCCTACACTTAGCCTGCTTTGCCGCTGTGGCCCGCTGGGGCGGAGACAGAACGTGACGTCCGCACTGTGAATGGACCGCAAGTGTGCACTGCCTGCCTGCCGCCCGCCCGCCCGCTCCATCGCTTCATCCATCGCTCCGAGCCCGCCTCCCCCCCTAACGCATCCCGCTCTGCCTCCCGCCTCTCCGCTCCCTTCCCGATCGCTTACGCTCATCGCCCCCTCCCGCACCCAGGGGCCACTCGGCAGAAATGAGGCTCCTTCCGATCAGCCCTTCCTCGGCCCTGTCGGCACCCACATTCAGCCACTGGTTGCACTCAAGTCAGCAGGCGGCCTGGGGCACTGGCAGGAGAACGTGGAATTGGCCCGGCCCAGACTGGCCCGCCCCAGACACCACCTCCGCGCCCCCTCGCCTGGCCAGAGCCCCCAGGGACCCTCAGGCGCCCAGAGCTCTGAGCAGATGTGCGCCTCGGGCAGGTCCCTCGGGGCTCTGTCCCCCACCTGCCCTGGGTCAGCCCGGGAAGGTCAGAGCGAGTTGTGTCTCTAGACGGACTCTTGGTGGAGGTTCCTGTGCAGGAGCGCCCCCCCTCTCCCCCCCGCCTCTCAGCCCGTCACCTCTGTCCGCATGGCCTGGGAGGCAGGCCAGGTTCTGGGAGAGGCACAGTGGTCAGCAGTCACCAACCAACCGGTGGCCCGTGAGGTCCGAAAGGTTGGCGGCCGCTGGTCCATCCAGTTGTCAGCTGGAGACACAGGCGCTTCCTTAGAGTTCTCCCACAATCCTGGGAGGCAGGACAGCCAGCCTGCCCCGGGTTTGAGTCCTCTCTGCCTGAGCACTTGAGCCCCTGGGCCCATCTCCCGGTGCAGAGCAGCCCGCCTGCATCCTTGGCCTGTCCACCCCTTCCCCGTGGTCCAGAGGCGTGGCTGGCCCGTGGCCCCCTCCATGGCGGGAGTTTCCACAGGACAGGGTGGCTCTGTGCGTGTCTAATTCTCTTCGTGCCTGCATGGCGCTTGCACCTACAGGTGTGCGGTCCTGCTTGGACCCTCCCTCCCTGGGGTGGGCTGGAGGGTCACCCTGTGCTAGGATGAGAAAGTAGGGCTCTGGGCAGGCCAAGGCACTTGCCCCTGGTGTCCCAGAGGGGGTAGTATGGGAGCCAGCTTTGGGCCCCAGAGCCGCTCAGGGCTTCAACCGTGGGTGTCCCCTATCCCCAAGAAGGGCCAAACTCCACCTCCTCCTGCCGCCAGCCCCAGGCCTCCGGCTGCCCAAACCGCCAGGTGCCTGAGCCCCCAGGCCCTCTCCCACCCCTCCTTCCTCCCACGGCCTCCGCTGTCCTCTCTCCTCTCCTGCCTCCTTCCTGAGCCTCACGGGGTGTGTGTGTGCGTGTGAGACCGTGGAGCGCTGTCTGCAGTCCTGTCCGTGTCCTCCCACAGCACACGTGCATGTTGCTGTCCCCCGGCAGAAACCCACTCAATTCCCAAAGCCGCTGCCCGCTCTGGGCCATCCGGACGCCCACGGCTTGGGCTCGCGTAGACAGGGCACCGGGCCGTGGGGGGCCCGCCCCAGCCGGCGAGGAGCGAGGAGCCAGGCCGGAGCTCCTGCGCGCGGGGCGGGCGGCGCAGGCCCCGCCGGGCTCTGACCCCTGTTCTCTGCATCCAGATGAGAGCTCCGAGGACGAGGGCGAGGACAAGCTGGAGGACGAGGAGGACGAGGCCGGAGGCTACAGGCTGGGGGCCCGGGAGCGAGCCCTGTCTCCGGGCCTGGAGGAGAGTGGGCTGGGCCTGCTGGCCCGCTTCGCCGCCAGCGCCCTGCCCAGCCCCACGGTGGCGCCGTCGCTGTCGGTGGTGCAGCTGGAGGCCAAGCAGAAGGCGCGGAAGAAGGAGGAGCGACAGAGCCTGATGGGTAAGTGGGGGCGGTGCTGCCAGAGTGGCCGCGTGCCCAGCCTGCAGGTGAGGAGACTGAGGCCCCGGGGAGGGAAGGGCAGAGCCGGGAGCCCGCAGGGCCCCTCAGCGGGGTGGCCCTGCCCGGAGCAGAGGCTGGTGATGTGGGCCCCGGTGTGCTGTTCCCAAGGAGGGGCCCCCAGAGCGGGGCAGAGTGACCTTCAGCCCAGCGTGGCCTGGCCCGCCCCTCAGTTGCCACGGCGGGCAGGTCTGGGAAGCAGGCGCCTCTGGCCTGCACCCGGGAGTGGGCTGTAAGGGGTCTACGACCCAGCACGGCGAGTCCAGGAGCCCACTGCTGACCCGGGAGAGACGTGGGAGCTGGCCAGGCACAGGGGAGCAGTGGGGGTAGACGGGCACAGGGGAGCAGTGGGGATGGACGGGCAGGCAGCCGCCCGGGCCGGCGGAAGGGGTCGACTCCACTGTTAGCCAGGCCAGTGGCCGCTCCTTGTGGCCCGGAGCGCCTTTCTCTCTGGGGCTCCCAGTGTTCCGTGGCCTGGGCGTGCACAGCTTATCAGGCGCCCCCTGGAGGGCATCCTGAGCCCCCACGTCATGGCCGTCACACAACCGCGCTGCTGCAGACACCGTGTGCAGGTTTCCCGTGGAGCTGAGGTTGCAGCTCCTTTGGGTAAACACGGGGAAGCGTGGCTGCTGGGCCAGGTGGTGAGAGAGCCAGGTGGCGAGAGAGCCGGGTGGCGAGGAGCCGTCAGACCTTGTCTCAGAGAGGCTGCTGCGAGTCCATTCCCCCGTGGGGACGCTCTCGGTGCTCCCCGCTCCGGCTCGGAGTCCGGGCCTTGACTCGGGGTGCCGGTATCCTCGGGGTGTGGGCGTGGGTCGCCTAGTCTGCGTTTTCCGAGGACCCACGGGGAGCTTCTCAGGCACGCCCTTTCCCACGGGATGTCTTCCGTGAAGCGCCCGTTTTTTGCTTCCTTGATGTTTGGATAGCAGTCCTGGATCCGTGGTATCTTTCGCAGATATCCCGCCCCGTCTTGTCTTTTCATTCTCTTGGCGACGTTTTTTTGCGAAGCAGAATCTTTTAAATTTAACGAGGTCCCGTTTATCAGCTCTTTCCTTCGTGGGCTGTGCTTTGGTCCAAAAACTCCCCATCAACCCCAAAGCCCCCTAGGCTTTCTTCACGTCATTTTCTAGAAGCTTTATCGTTGTGCATCTTACGGTCTGTGATCCATTTGGAGTTACTTTTTGTGAAGGGAGTACGGTTTGTGTGTGTTTTTGCTTTGTTTTTAAAAATATATCTTTATTGATTTCAGAGAGAGAGATGGAGCGAGAGAAGCTCATCAATGATGAGAGAGAATCATCGATTGGCTGCCTGCTGCATCCCCCAACCCTGGCATGTGCCCTGACCAGGAATGAAACGGTGACCTCCTGGCTTTGTGTAGTGTGTGTGTGGTTTTTACTGCGTGTGGATGTCCAGCCCATCTGTTGAAAAGACCGTCCTTTCTCCCTTGTCACAGCTCTTGGACTGTGCTTTGGGGTCTGTTTCTAGGCTCCACGTTCTATCCTGTTGCTTTCCCTGCCTGTCCTTTCGCCAGCACGGTCCACCTGGTGACCGCGTCTCCCGTCTCCTCAGAAACGTTAGGATTAGGTCGTCAGAACCCACAAACTGAGCTCCTGGGCTTGGGGCCGGGATTGCATTGACTCCGTGATTCAGTTGGGAAGTCCCGGACGCCCTGACAGTAGCGAGTCTCCGTGGCCGTGAACATGGAGTGTCGTCTTTTCGGTGTCTGTCCAGGTGTTCACGTGGCCTCTGTCCTTCGTTAATATGGAACCTTATGTTGATTTGTGTGTGTGTTTTTTTGGTGTGTTGAATCAACCTGGCATTCTTTTTTTTTTTTTTTTTTTTTTTTTTTAATATATTTTTATTGGCTTCAGAGAGGAAGGGAAAGGGCGGGCGAGATAGAAACATCTGTGATAGGAGGGAATCACTGATGGGCTGCCTCCCGCGCAGGAATTGAGCCCACAATCCCGGCATGTGCCCTCGGCCGGGATGGAACCAGGGCCCTTCGGTCCGTAGGCTGGCTCTCTGTCCGTGAGCCACACCGGCCAGGGCTGGCCCTCTCCCCAGAGCAGCCTAACCCGGTGCCTCCCTCCTTGTCCTCGGCATCCAGCAGCTGCTCATGTCCAGGCCGACAAGATGACCATGGAGGAGGCCTGGCCCAGGGGACCCCAGGCTTCAACCTGGCCCCCTTGGGGGAATCCCTATCTGGTCAGGATGCACCCTCTTTTTGTGTTTGTGATTGTCACGTCTCCCGGGCGGGTTAGCCGTGCTCCTCCTGTTAAAGGAGCGGCTTCTGTCTGATGTCATCGGCGTGGCCGCCCGGCGTGTGGCGCCTGTTTATGCGGCTTCTCCTCCTCACCCTCTGACAGTCGAGCTCTCTGTGTCGTCCCTCTTCTGTCCCCTCTTCCTCCTCTAAGCCTCATGGTGCTGGGTGGGAGTCAGGACATGGGCCCTGCTCCCAGCCCTGGCACCCCTTTCCCTGTCTCACCCCAGCACTCTGGCAGGGACCGGTCCCTCTGTCTCAGGCCGTTCATGCCCCCCTCCCCCCAGCCCCCGTCTCTCCTCCTGCAGGGGTGTCAGTCTCGCCATCGCCTGCCCCTGCGCAGTGACTGCAGTTCTCTGCACATCTGGGCTGCGGGAGGAAGGGGGGGGAGATGCGGCTGCCGGCAGGGGCGTCCTTCCCTCACCCCCGCAGAACAGCAGCCTGTTTTAGGGCACTTCTAATCATCGGTGAAAGCCCCCAGCTGCCTGCCTGCGCGGGCGGTCTGTTAACAAAAGACTAATTAGCGGGATCATTAAGCTTTGCAGTGGCTCCTTCCCATAAGTGTGCCCGCCCGGCCCTCCGCGGGCGCCCGGCCCTCCGCGGGTGCCTCTGTCCACCGTGGGCCTGGCCACCGGGGCCCTCGCGGGCGCTGCCTGTGCCGGGCTTTGGCCGGCTTCTCGGCTCACGTGCCGTGCGTGTGGAGCAGGGCCTCTCGGGGGGGTCAGCTCCGGCTGTCACCGCCATCCTGTCCCCACAGCCTCCGGCACAGTCCCCGGCCGGCACGGCCCCGGCCACCGCGCTGGGCCAGCTCTGAGCCCCACCAGTCAGGGCTCCAGGAGGTCTCGGTCGGGGAGCTGTGTCCTGGGCTGGGGCAGCGGGGCCGGGCAGACAGGGATGGAGCCGGGCGTGGTGAGGGCCATGGTGATGGAGGCGAGCACACAGACTCCCAGGGCCGTGCCCAGGTCTTCAGCGCAGTCCCGGGCAGAGGCCCAGGCAGAGGCTGGGGGAGGCCGGGAGAGGCGGTGGCGGAGGGGCGGCAGAAGCGAAGGCCGAGGGCTGCTGGGGGCTCAGTGGCCTGGCGGTCAGAGCCTGAGCCTCCGGGCTGGCCTCGTGGGTCTGGCTCAGGGCTGCCCCTCGGGGGTAGGAAAGGGAGGGGCGGGCCCTGAGTTGAGAAGCGGGGCTGGGCCCCGGGGTGGCGTGGGTTCCTGTGAGCCACCCCTGGACAGGGAGTGGGTGCCAGGGACTGCCCAGCTGAGATGTGGGTCCGGGGAGCAGAGGAGGGGCCCCCTGGCTGGGGATTTTGCCCGGGCTTTCCCGCCGCCCGGGAGTTGGTGTCCTGGGGCCCTCCCCCTCACCTGTCCGGCTTCTGGTTCCCACGGGCACAGGGGCAGGGACGTCCACACTCCGGGTTGAGGCTCTTGGGGAGCGGGTGGCTGCGGCCTGGGCGGGGGCGGCCTGCCGTCCGGGGCATGCCCCCCGGGGAGTCCTCCGGCTCCTCCGCCTCAGGCTCCTCCCTGGAGCAGAGAGGGGGCTCCGCGGGCAGAGGGCCCCTGGGAGGGAGAGGGGCTGTGGCCTCGGGCTGGAGGCCAGGCAGCGGGTCGGGTGGGAAGTGGGGCCCCTGAGCCCCGTCCACAGCCCCCTCCCTCGTTCCCCTCCAGGTACGGAGTTCGAGTACACGGACTCGGAGAGCGAGGTGAAGGTGCGGAAGCGCTCGCCCAAGAAGGGTCTGGGGGAGCCGGGCCCCTCCCTGGCGCCGCCCGGGCCCCGGGGCCCCGGCCCCGCCAGCCCCGGCAAGGCCAAGGCGGCGGCTGAGAAGGGGCGCAAGGCCCGCCGGCTGCGCGGCCCCCGGGAGCCGGGCTTCGAGGCGGGGCCCGAGGCCAGCGACGACGACCTGTGGACAAGGCGGCGCAGCGAGCGCATCTTCCTGCACGACGCCCTGCCCGCCGCCCCGCCCCGCGCCGCGCCCCCCGCCAAGCCCCGCGGCGCCCGGGCCGGCCCGCCCAGCCCCCGCAAGGACGCGGCCCGCGCCCGCGACCGGAAGGACCCCCGGAAGGTAGGACTCGGTGCCGTCCCGGGAGGTGGCCCTGGTATCTGCACAGGCCCGAGCCGGCCCCGGCCTCCGTCCCAGATGTGTGTGTGCATGTGTGTGTGTCTGTGTGTGTGAGGGGCGTGGGCCCCAAAGGAAACGGCAGTTATCAGACCTCCCTCTGTGAGGCGGCGCCCGCAGTGCCTCTCCTGGCGCTGAGATCCGCCCAGAGCTGCCCCAGCACACGTGGAAACACGCGATGTGCTAAGGTCCCACGGAACGGCCATGTGCCATGCGGCGGGGTTTCTGCTGGTGACAGAGTCCCAGGCATTGCCGTCCATACCGCCGTGGCTTGTGGAGTGCCCGGGCCCAGAGCGCCCAGGCCGAGCGCCCATGGGGGCCCAGAGCGCCCAGGCCGAGCGCCCATGGGGGCCCAGAGCACGGGCCCTTTCCGCTCGGCTGCTAGGAGGCTGGTGGCAGGTGTCCCCTTCAGGGGCCCCGTTCAAGGCTCCGGCGGTGGGCTGCACCTGCGGCCTCCGCCGGGGCCTGCAGGGCCCCCTCACGGACAGGGACCTGGAAGAAGTGGGGGGCAGGAAGGGGTGAGGCGAGGCGGGGCCGCAGCTGGTCACTCCCAGGCACCTCGGGGCGTGCGCACCCCTTGCTGCTTGTCCGCTGACGCTTCCGGGCCTCGGATGGAGGGCTAGCGTGACGCTGACGGCTGTCACCCAGGCAGTCGGGTGAGGTGGGGGGAGCGGTGCCTTGTCCGGGCGCCATGGTGCACATTTGTTGGCGAAGGAAATCTCGGTTCCTGTCCTCAGACTCTGACCCTGAGGCCGGTGGGCACGGAGCCCCCGGGAAGGATCAGCCCAGGTCGCCCCTCAGGCCGTGCCCCGGCCCCGGGCACCTGTGTCCCCAGCGCTGCCCACGGAGTCCCAGGCCTCAGGTGTGCGCACGGCGCAGGCTCAGACACGGCTCAGGGGCAGCCCACACAGGGGCGCAGATCAGGGCAGGGGGCGAGGCCACTGCTGCCGCTACCCCCATCCCCCCCTCCCGCCCCACCCCACAGGGCGCCGCCCTCCGGCACCTCTGTGCTCACCCCGAAGCTCCCGCCCTCTGGTTTTTGGAGGCTCATGACATGGACGTGACCCCCCACAATCTCAGCCTCCAGCCTCCCTCCTGGCCCAGAGGAGGGACCAAGAGTCACCTCGCTGGCCCCGCCCAGGAGACCCAGGGAGTTCCCAGGGTGGGAGGGGGGCGCACAGGGCGAGGCCAGCCGTGCTCCCATCGGCTGGGCGCCTAGGCCCACACGCCGTGGCTCCCAGCAGCTGCACGTCCCTGATCCCCGAGGGCCCCGTGGCCAGAGCGCAGCCACCGGCCTCTCCCGGCGCCTCTGTGGTGGGAGGGCAGGCTCCCGTCTGTCCCGGGCGCAGGAAGGGGACCGGAGCAGCGAAGGAGTCAGACTCGAACCCGTCACCGGGAGCGGCCGCTGCGCGTGCTGCTTTGGGACGGGCTTCGCTTCCTGTCTGCAGGCGTGCGTTTTAGGTCGTGGTCCCCGTGCGGGGCTGTCGTTGTGCTTTTTACAATGAGTGTTTCTGAGCGGCCGGCGGCACCCCCCTGGCCAGCCTGGGTCCCGTCGCTGCTGGTTTGGCGGGTGGTGGTCTTGGCTGTTGCGATGCCTGTGGCAACCCACACCCATCTGTGCACTAAAACACGGCAAAGCTTCCAGAACGGCAGCCAGTTGCTAGTCCTACTGATGGATCAGCAGGCAGAGCAGGAGGACATAAAGCCCTGTCCCTCTCTCCTTTCCTCTCTCCCTCCTTTCCATTCTCTCTAAAAAAAATAATAAATAAATGGAGAAATATCCTCTAGTGAAGATTAACCAAAATGTATTCACTCGGGTATAACTTTTTTTTAAAGTACTTTTAAAAATATATATTTTATTATTGATTTTTTTTACAGAGAGGAAGGGAGAGGGATAGAGTCAGAAACATCGATGAGAGAAAAACATCCATCAGCTGCCTCCTGCACGTCCCCTACTGGGGATGTGCCCGCAACCAAGGCACATGCCCTTGACCAGGATTGAACCCGGGACCCCTCCGTCCACAGGCCGACGCTCTATCCACTGAGAAAACTTTTTGTATGTTTTTAAAAATATATATTTTATTTATTTTTTACAGAGAGGAGGAGAGAGGGTTAGAGAGCTAGAAGCGTCGATGAGAGAGAAACATCGACCAGCTGCCTCTTGCACACCCCCTACTGGGGATGTGCCCGCAACCAAGGTCCATGCCCTTGACCAGAATCGAACCTGGGACCTTTCAGTCCGCAGAGCCACGCCGTTTCGGCTGTATAACGTTTTTATGTCGCCCCCTCCCTCGGGCGCTCAAAGACGTGCTCCCGGGCTGAGCTGCCTGACCACTGACGTCAGAGGGAGGCGGGGACCCACGTTAAAGAAGCTCCTTGACCCAAGATGAGCAGCAGGCAGAAACCACGTGCACACAGACCTGTACATGCTTCCCCAACGGGGCGAGCCGGCTGCCTTTCGTCCCTGTGACGTTTCTGTTCGTCCCTTTTAATGCTGCTGCTTTGCATTCCGCCCCTCTGCTGTTGTAACAGTGACATTTGCCCAGTATTAGCTTTTCTCTCTCTTCATATTCCACCTGCCCAGTCCTTTGATGTGGTGACCCCGCCCCCACCTCCCTGCTGCCCACGGCTGCCCAGGATGGCTCCTGAGCACGTACCTGCATTGGTGTGGCTGTGGCTGGAGCTGTGGCAGGGGCTGTGGCCAGGGGCTGTGGCTGGGGCTGTGGCCGGCATTGGGTTGTTCCAGCGGCTGGCTCTGATGGTGAAGCTGTGCACAGCACGTGCCCTTCGGCCACGTCCAGTCTCCCCGAGGGGCCCGCCCGTTTCACCAGCGGGGGTGGGGGTGGGAGTGGGGGTGGGGGGGGTGGGGGGTGTGTGGTCTCCCTGGCCCCGGGGCTGGTGGGCGGGAAAACACCTCCAGGAGGCGCGGGCAGCAGGCCGGCTCTCCGCTCCTGCCCGGCGCGGCCCAGGCTGGCCGGCCTCTCCCTCCGGCGCCTTCGGAGAGTGAGAACACAGGTGCCGTTCGGGTGGCTGCTTGGGACGCCCCGTGCGGGGCCGGCGGCGGCTGTTAAAGTAAGAGCCCTCGGTGTTTGCCAGGCACACCGGCCGGGGGTGCCAGCGGGACTTGTGGCAGATTTCCATCTGTGTCCGAAAAGCCCGCTGCGTCTTACAAAGCGCTGTGTCCGCACAGCCCTGGTGCTCACGGGGCTGTGCACTGTGGAAGGTTCCAGAAGGGCTCACGGTGCTCCTGGGGCGCCGGGACCTGCTGTGATGCACACGCCCGGTGCCGTCCTTTGTAAACACGCCGGTCGGTGGAGACACGGTGCCGATGGCACGGAACACGCCGCCTGGGCGCCACCTGCTCCGGCCCCACCCGTGCGGCTGCCATGAGCACGCTGGGGGCGCCCAGGCCCTGCCGACGGGGAGGACCAGGCGGGGCTCCCCCGCTTGCCCGCCCCCCATGGCCTCTGTCCCTCCCTCCACAGAAGAAGAAAGGGAAGGAGGCGACCCCTGCAGCCGCCCTGCCCCCGCCCCGCACGCCCGTCCTGCCCCCCGAGGCCCGGGCCCCGCACGCCGGCTCCCCGGCCGCCTCCGCCAAGAGGAGCAAGGCCAAGGCCAAGGGGAAGGAGGTGAAGAAGGAGGTGAGGCTCCAGGGCCCGGCCACGCGGGTCCCCGGGTCCCCGGCGCGGCTGCGTGCCTGTCCCGCGCACAGACGGGTCCGTGGCACATGGGGCAAGCTGCCTCAGTTTCCCCAAGGAGGGCCCCGAGGCACCTGTCTTGGTGATGAACCCAACTCGGTGCCCGGCACTGGGCGTCCGCACTGAGCGTGTGAGGTCCCTCTGCCCTCCCTCGGCCTCCGGGTGACCCGGCGGGGACCACACGGCCGCTGCCCGGCTGCCCCAGCTCCCAGGGAGCGTCCCCGGGGCAGGCCCGGCCGGCCGTCCTCAGCCCCGTCCCGGTGTCCGTCCCCAGACCCGGGGCAAGGGCGGGGCGGTGAGCAAGCTGATGGAGAGCATGGCCGCCGAAGAGGACTTCGAGCCCAACCAGGACTCCAGCTTCTCCGAGGACGAGCACCTGCCGCGCGGCGGCGCCCTGGAGCGGCCGCTGACGCCGGGTGAGTGCACAGCGCCGGGCGGGCCGGGCCTGCGGGGCGGAGCCGGGCCCCCCTGGGAGAGTGACAGGCCTGCGAGGGGCAGGGGCTGAGCAGCCGGGGAGTGGCTGTGAGCGCCCGGCCAAGGCCCGAGCAGCGGCACCGCCCTGCGGTGGACAGAGGAAGCCGCGGCCTGGGCTTGGGGGGCTGTGGCCTGGGCTTCGGGGGCCACGGGTGAGCGAGGCCCGGGTCTGGGGGTGAGCTGTGAGCGAGGCCTGGGCTCCGGGGGCCGCGGGTGAGCGGTGAGCGAGGTGGGGGCTGGGCTGAGGAAGAGCCTTTCCCAAGCCCCTGAGGCCTGTGGCTTCTCCAGAAGGAGGGGCCGCTGCAGAGGTCGCCCTGGGGGGCAGGGCAGTGCGGTCAGAGGGGCTCCGAGTGCGCTCAGCTGGGGCAGGAGGTCCGTGGGGGCTGTCGCCAGGCTCCAGCGAGGGCTGTGGAGCTGCTGAGGGCAGCGGGAGGAGGGGGACGACGGGGGAGGTGAGCATGTTAGGGCGCAGTGTGGAGTTAGAGGAGCACTGGGGCCCCCATCGGGGTGCAGTGGTCAGCGGCCGCGTCTCCGTCTCCGTGGGGGCAGAGCTGACCCGGCTGGGTTTGCTGACATGTTTATGGGATGGCCAGGCTCCGCGGGCACATGGACCACTCCGCTCCTTTGCACCGGGGGCCAGCCAGTGTGTGCTCACAGCCGTGTGCTGGCGCTCAGGGGCCAGTGTGTGCTCACAGCCGTGTGCTGGGGCTCAGGGGCCAGTGTGTGCTCACAGCCGTGTGCTGGGGCTCAGGGGCCAGTGTGTGCTCACAGCCGTGTGCTGGGGCTCAGGGGCCAGTGTGTGCTCACAGCCGTGTGCTGGGGCTCAGGGGCCAGTGTGTGCTCACAGCCGTGTGCTAGAGGAGCCAATGTGTGCTCATGGAGTGTGCTAAAGGAGCCAGGTGTGTCCTCGGGGCCGTGTGCTGCACTAGCCTGTCCGGGCACATGTGCGTGACACTTTCCCACAGGGCACTGGGCGGCCTGGGGGGGGCGCTGGAGGGAGCGAGGAGGGAGGGACGGAGGGTCTGAGCTGCCTCCGCCTCCGCAGCCCCGCGCTCCTGCATCATCGACAAGGACGAGCTGAAGGACGGTCTGCGCGTGCTCATCCCCATGGACGACAAGCTGCTGTACGCCGGGCACGTGCAGACCGTGCACTCGCCCGACATGTGAGTGCGGCCGAGCCCCCGGCCTCCCCGTCCTGCGGCCGGGCCCCCTCCAAGCAGCTCCCCGGAGGAGCGGGCGAACGGAACGGTGCCCGCTCGCCGGAGGACAGTCCTCTCGGGGGGCGGCAGGTTTGGGGCTCAGCAGGGAGGCGGGGGCCAGTGGGCCGGCTCGGACCTGCAGCCCCTGGTTGTACAGATGAGGAGACTGAGGCCCAGAGGGGCGTCCTGGGAGGGGCCCTGTGCTGGAGGGCGGAGGGCCCCGGGGTCGCGCCTCTGCCCGCCCACCCACCCTCACCCGACCTTGCAGATACCGAGTGGTGGTGGAGGGGGAACGCGGGAACCGGCCCCACATCTACTGCCTGGAGCAGCTGCTGCAGGAGGCGGTAAGGGGCGGGCGCCGAGCATGGGGGGGGGCGGGCTGGTCTGGTCACCGCCTGGTGCTCAGTCCCGGGCCTTTCAGATCATCGACGTGCGGCCGGCCTCCACACGCTACCTGCCGCAAGGGACCAGGATCGCGGCGTACTGGAGCCAGCAGTACCGGTGCCTGTACCCGGGCACCGTGGTCCGAGGTGCGCGCTCCCCCCCCCCCCCCCCGCACCTCTGCACTCCCCCCGCACCTCTGCACTCCCCCCCGCACCGCACTGCCCACGTGCCCGCAGGGCTCCTCTGGGCCCGAACCCGCTCTCTGTCACGGGCTGGCGTGTGACTGGGCGCTCACCCGGCCTGTTGGTGGTCGGCCCCGGGCGCTCTGCCCCTGCCCCTGCCCCTGCGCCTGCCCCTGCCCCTGATCCTGCCTCTCCCACAGGCTTGCTGGGCCTCGAGGACGACGGGGACCTCATCACTGTGGAGTTCGACGATGGAGACACAGGGAGGATCCCGCTCTCTCACATCCGCCTCCTGCCTCCCGACTACAAGATCCAGTGTGAGTCCTGGGCCCGCCGCCCCCAGGCCCTCCCCCGCCCCCATCCTTCCCTGCTGCCCCCTAGACCTTCCCCCTGCCCCCAGGCCCTCCCCCTGCCCCCATCCTTCCCTGCTGCCCCCCAGGCCCTCCCACTGCCCCCAGACTTTCCCCTGCCCCCAGGCCCTGCCCCTGCCCCCCGGCCCTCCCCCTGCCCCCCCAGCCCTCCCCCTGCCCCCCGGCCCTCCCCCTGCCCCCCGGCCCTCCTGCTGCCCCCCAGGTCCCTCCCCTAGCCCCCCCACTGCCTCCAGGCCCACCATCTGTCCCCCAGGCCCTCCATCTGCCCCCAGACCCTCCATCTGCCCCACAAGCCCTCCATCTGCCCCCAGGCCTTCCCACGTGGGGTCTGCTCCTTGGTGTCGTCGTCCAGGTGTGAGTGCTCCAGGTGTGAGTGAGTGCTCCAGGTGTGAGTGTGAGTGCTCCCCTCCCTGCTCTGAGGCCAGGCCTGACCCCGTCTGTCCTGCCTGCAGGTGCTGAGCCATCCCCGGCCTTGCTAGTGCCCAGTGCCAAGCGCCGCAGCCGGAAGACCAGCAAAGACACCGGGGACGGCAAAGACGGGGGTGCACCCGGGTCTGAGGAGCCGGGGACCAAGGCGCGAGGGCGCGGGCGGAAACCCAGCACCAAAGCCAAGGGTGGTACGTTGGCAACGGGTGTGGGGGCTGGCTGCACATGGGCTCTTCACAGAGACCCCCCACAGCTGGGGAGCAGCTCAGGGCACGTTCATGTCAGAGGCAGAGCCAGGTGTGTGTAAGTGCTCCAGGTGTGTGAGTGAGTGCTCCAGGTGTGTGCTGTGTGTGAGTGCTCCAGGTGTGTGTGTGTGTGTGCTCCAGGTGTGAGTGCTCCAGGTGTGTGTGTGTGTGTGTGTGTGTGCTCCAGGTGTGAGTGCTCCAGGTGTGTGAGTGTGCTCCAGGTATGAGTGTGTATGAGTGCTCCAGGTGTGAGTGCTCCAGGTGTGTGTGAGTGCTCCAGGTGTGAGGGTGTGAGTGCTCCGGGTGTGAGTACTCCAGGTGTGAGGGTGTGAGTACTCCAGGTGTGAGGGTGTGAGTGCTCCAGGTGAGTGCTCAAGGTGTGAGTGTACTCCAGGTGTGAGTGTCTGAGTGCTCCAGGTGTGAGGGGGTGAGTGCTCCAGGTGTGTGTGTGTGAGTGCTCCAGGTGTGAGTGCTCAGGTGTGAGGGTGTGAGTGCTCCAGGTGTGAGGGGGTGAGTGCTCCAGGTGAGTGCTCCCGAGCCTGCAGGAAAGGGCTTCGGGCTTCGGGCGGAGCCGAGGTCCCGGCCGCCCCGGCCGTGCTGTGGGGCGGCAGGGGGTGGCGGGCTCGGGGCGGGGCCTCCTCACCTGGGCCTCCTCTCCAGACAGAGCCGCCGCCCTGGAGGAGGGGGGCCCCGCGGCGGAGGCTCCCGGCGCCCCGCTGGCCCTGGAGCCAGTCAGCACCCCGGGCTCCAAGAAGAGCCCCCCAGAGCCTGCGGACAAGCGGACCAAAGCCCCCAAGGCTCGCCCAGCGGCCCCCCAGCCCGGCCCCGCGCCGCCCCCCTTCCCCAGCTGCCCGGCTGCCGAGCCCTTCGGGGAGCTGCCGGCCCCCGGCCCGGCCCTGGCGCCCGCCCCCCTGGCCGCCGGGCCCGTCACCATGCCCGCCACCCGCCCCAAGCCCAAGAAGGCCCGGGCCGCCGAGGAGGCGGCCGGCAAGGGCGCCCGCAGGCCCGGGGAGGAGGCCGAGCTGCTGGTCAAGCTGGACCGCGAGGGCGTCATGTCCCCCAAGAGCAAGAAGGCCAAGGAGGCGCTGCTGCTGCAGCGCGCAGAGCCGGCCGGGCGCCCCGACACGGGCCGCCTGGGGCTGGGCGGCTGCGCCCCGGCCGCCGGCGAGCCCCAGGCCCGGCCCCAGGCCGGGGACGGCGGCCTGGCCCAGGAGCCGGGCGCGGGGCTCCCGTTCGAGGACTCGGGGGTCCCCAAGAGCCCGGACAAGGCCCAGGCGGAGCAGGACGGGGCCGAGGAGTCCGAGAGCAGCAGCAGCAGCAGCAGCAGCGACAGCGGCAGCGGGAGCAGCTCAGAGACGGAGGGCGAGGAGGATGGCCAGGCCGGCGGCCGCGGCTGCACCGCCTCCAGCTCCAGGGCCTCCTCCTCCTCCTCCTCTTCCTCCTCCTCCTCTTCCTCCTCCTCCTCCTCCTCATCTTCCTCCTCCTCCTCCTCCTCCTCCTCCTCCTCCTCGTCGTCATCATCGTCCTCATCGTCGTCCTCATCGTCCTCATCGTCGTCCTCGTCGTCCTCGTCGTCCTCCACCACGGACGAGTCTTCCTGCAGCTCCGACGAGGAGGCGGCCCCCGCCCCCGCCGCCGGCCCCGCGCTCCCCGGCAAGGCACCCAAGCCGGCCGGCAAGGCGCGCCCCTCGGCCCACTCCCCCGGCAAGAAGGCACCGGCGCCCCCGCCCCAGGCGCCCCCGCCGCAGCCCCCGCCGCCCCCGCCGCCCAAGGCTCAGGCCGGGCCCGGGGCCAAGAGCCGCCCCAAGAAGAGGGAGGGCGTCCACCTCCCCACCACCAAGGAGCTGGCCAAGCGGCAGCGCCTGCCCTCCGTGGAGAACCGGCCCAAGATCGCCGCCTTCCTGCCGGCCCGGCAGCTCTGGAAGTGGTTCGGCAAGCCCACCCAGGTAGGCTGCTCGCAGACACGCAGACCTGGCTCCCCGGCCGCCTCCGGGCCAAGGACAGGCGTCTGCCGTCCTGCGTCCCCTGGCGGGGCTCCTGTGTTAGCATCCGCCGCTTCCGGCCCCGGGTGGTGTGGCTGAGGGCTCTGCTCTGCGGGGGCGGCTTCAGGTGCGGCTGGATCCAGGGGTTTGAAGGCTGTCCTCAGCCCCCTCTCCAATCCATGCTCCGGCCTCAGTTTCTCCGTCCCAGCAGCCCCCCTCCTGGGGCAGCAGGCGCTTCCGGCTGTATTCTGCCGGCGCAGACAGGACGGCCTCCTTCCCGGCTCACGCCGAAGTTGGTCAAGTGTCTTGGCTTGGGTTCTGAGCCCCTCACGGTGCCAGGAGGAGGATGGGGGTCAGGATCAGCCAGACCACGTCCTGTGCCCGGTGCAGGGGGTGGCTCCGCAGGGAAGGGGTTTGTGGAACGGGCATAGCCTTTCGATGCCGGAGACATAACTGGCGTCAGAGGTGAGCTGGCTCAGCAGCCACCGCGGCCTCTCACCCAGAACCGGCTCTCGCTGGGCCTGGAATGAGGAAGTGAGCCGCTGTGGGCACAGCAGTGAGCGTCCGGGACGTCAGAGCCGCCCCACAGGGTCCGGGGGTCCCGGTAGGAAGGCCCTGGGTGCGGAGGAAGTCAGTGCAGGTGTCTCTGGTTTAAGCAAAAACGGTGCGCCAAGCCCTGTGAGGAGTGGGCCCGCCTTGGGGTGATGTCAGTGCTGCTCGGTGCTGCCCGGGGGTCCGGGCCCTGAGGCTCAGCCCGGGGGGTCCTGAGGCTCAGCCCGGGGGGTCCGGGCCCCTGAGACTCAGCCCAGGGGTACGGGACCTGAGGCTCAGCCCGGGGGGGTACGGGCCCTGAGGGTCAGCCTGGCAGGTACGGGCCCTGAGGCTCAGTCCGGGGGGGTACGGGCCCTGAGGGTCAGCTTGGCAAGTACGGGCCCTGAGGCTCAGCCCAGGGGTCCGAGCCCTGAGGCTCAGCCCGGGGGGGTCTGGGCCCTGAGGCTCAGCCCGGGGGGTCCGGGCCCTGAGACTCAGCCCGGGGGCTCTGGGCCCCCCTGAGGCTCAGCCCGGGGGGTACAGGCCCTGAGGGTCAGCCTGGGGGGGTACGGGCCCTGAGGGTCAGCCCGGGGGGTACAGGCCCTGAGGGTCAGCCCGGGGGCTCTGGGCCCCCTGAGGCAGCCACGGGCTGAGTGATGTGCTGTCGGGCGCCCTCTCCCTCCCCCCCGGGGGTTCCTGTCTGGCAGGGCCCACAGCAGGCGTGGAGTCTGCGGGCCTCGGGCATCTTTGGGGTCAGGATTGGGACCGGGCGCCAGTCCCTCAGCACAGGCGCCGAGTGTAAACAGGTCCCTGCTAGCGGGGTGGGGGTCCCCTGTCAGAGCCGGGCCGGGGGGAGGGGGCGGGGGGGGCGGCCGCCCTGACCCCCCCTGCCCGCAGCGCCGTGGCATGAAGGGCAAGGCCCGCAAGCTGTTCTACAAGGCCATCGTGCGGGGCAAGGAGACCATCCGCATCGGCGACTGCGCCGTGTTCCTGTCGGCCGGCCGCCCCAACCTGCCCTACATCGGCCGCATCCAGAGCCTGTGGGAGTCCTGGGGCAGCAACATGGTGGTGCGCGTCAAGTGGTTCTACCACCCCGAGGAGACCAGCCCCGGCCGGAGCCTGCACGAGGGCCAGGTGGGCGCGGCGGGCGGCCGGGGGGGCGGTGAGGGGGCGGCCGGGGGGCACAGGGGGCGGTCAGGGGAGCGGTGAGGGGGCGGCCGGGGGGGCGGTGAGGGGGCGGCCTGGGGGGGGCGGTGAGGGGGGCGGCCTGGGGGGGGCGGTGAGGGGGGCGGCCTGGGGGGGGGACGGTTAGAGGGACGGCCGGGGGGCGCGGCCAGGGTGGCCTGGGGGGACGGTGAGGGAGGCACGGGGGGCGGTGGGGGTGGCCGGGGGGGGGTAAGGAGGGGCAGTGAGGGGGGGCGGCCAGGGGGGGGTGGTGAGGGGGGCATGGGGGGCGGTGGGGGCAGCCGGGGGTGGTGGTGAGGGGGCACGGGGGGGCGGGGGGGCAGCCGTGGGGGGCAGCCGGGGGTGGGGGTGGCGGGGCCCGGCTCACATGCCCGCGTCTGCCTGCAGCACTGGGACCCCAAGTCTGGCCGCAGCCTCCCGGCCGCGCTGCGGGCCTCCAGCCAGAGGAAGGACTTCATGGAGGTAGGAGGGCGGGTGGGGGGGCATCTCCTCAGACCTCACCCCGGCCAGGGCGGCCCTAGTGCCACCAGCCTCAGCAGCTGTCTGTCTGCCTGCCACTCGGTGTCGGGTCTCTCATGGTGTCACCCCCGTCCTGTCTGTCTGTCTCTCTGTCTCATTCTGTCTGCTTTGGTCACTTGCGTTCTGTGTTCGTTCGTCTGTCTCTCTGTCTCCCAGTCCCGTGTCTCTCTCAGGCTCTGGGTCCCTCTAGTCTTGCCCTCCCTCTCCGCGGTCCCTCGGGGTCTCCCTCTCCGTGGTCCCTCGGGGTCTCCCTCTCCGCGGTCCCTCCGGGTCTCCCTCTCCGCGGTCCCTCCGGGTCTCCCTCTCCGCGGTCCCTCGGGGCCTCCCTCTCGGGGTCCCTCTGGGCCTCCTGGGTGTCTCGCTGACGCCCCGCCCGCCCGCAGCGCGCGCTGTACCAGTCCTCGCACGTGGACGAGAATGACGTGCAGACGGTGTCGCACAAGTGCCTGGTGGTGGGCCTGGAGCAGTACGAGCAGATGCTCAAGACCAAGAAGCACCAGGACAGCGAGGGCCTGTACTACCTGGCCGGCACCTACGAGCCCACCACCGGCATGATCTTCTCCACGGACGGCGTGCCCGTGCTCTGCTGAGCGCCAGCCGCGCCGCTGCCGGCGGGCCTGCGCGGTGCCCTGCGAGCGCGCCACGGACACGTATGCATGCACGTGTGCGCGCACATGTGCACACGTCTCAGCCCCGCTCCACCCCCTCGGTGCCCGCCAAGAGGGGGCCGCTCTCCGCGATCGGGGGCTCTGCCCAGCCCCAGCCTCGCCGCCGTCACCAGGAAGCTCGTGGCCAGGCCTGGGCCCGCGTGCCCGTGACTCAGACGGAGGACACTGTGCGGACCCAGCAGACCTCGCTCTGCGGTTCCTGCCGCCGTGGGCCCTTCCGGGGCCCCAGGGCCCGCCCTCAGCCTCCCGCCGCGGGGCGGGCCGGCCCCACGCCCACCGGCCTCACTGACCGGGCCAGGCCTGCGCGGGCACCTGCCGGGGACCGGCCCCCACCCTCTCAGGATGCCCTGGACGCGGGGGCAGAGCCAGGCGAGGGCGCCCGAGCATTGGCCGAGCGCCAGGCGGAGGGGGCTGCGGGCTGGAGACCCCGGCCAGGGCCCTCCCGCCTGGCGCGGACCCTCACACTACAGACAACCCCATGGTGCTGAAACCCTGGCGGCCAGCCCGAGGGAGGCGGCATTCTTACCTGTACAGTTTTATTGTACCGAGACGCTCCCCTGTATGATACACCCTTAAATGGAGTCCACTTTTTAATTATATATAAAGATAAATATATATAAATATATATAAATATAAACTTTTTAAAACTGTGAAAAATAGCTATGAAATTAAAAAAAAAAAAAGCGAACATTCAGACGTGCAGAATATTATTTTTATTTCCTGTTAGATTGTGAGTGTCCAGCACCCAGCTTCACGGGCCCCCCTCGTCCCAAGCACACCCCGCCCCCCACCCGCCCCGCCCGGCCCAGGTGTACTGTACGCCCCCACAGGGAGGAGGAGGAGAGAGCAGAGGCTGCGGGCCCAGCGCCCAGGTCTCCTGAAGCACTTAGCAGCCGCCCGCGGAGGCCGCGCTGTCCAGACAATCTTAAGGGAAAGAAAAGCCAGACTTCGGTTCTATCGTTTGGGGGAATTGTTGTTTCATTTGTTTAGTTTCTTTTGGAATTTTGTTTGTTGGCGAATTCTGTGTGATCTTTTTCATAAAAAGCAAAAAGAAAAGAAAAAGCTGTAATTGGAAAGCACGTTGTCCGGATGGTTCCTTTCGGGCTGGTGGGCTCTGGAGGGGGGTGGAAGGGCGGGGTGGGGTGCGGGGTGGGGGGCGGGCACGGGCTCCGCGGGGGGGTGCGGAGGGCAGCGCTGGCCGTTTAGGGCACAGGAGCGGGAGTCACCGGCCACTGCTCTCCATGGCTAAGGGAAGGGGGAGGAAGTGCCAGCTGCACCCTGTGTTTCCCATGGGAAAGCAGGCGTCAGCGGCTCCTGTCCATCCGTCAGGGCAGGGAGCTCTCCGCCAGGGCGGGCGGGGCCTGCGTTTTCTATTTATTTATTTAACATATTTTATTGATTTTTCACAGAAAGGAAGAGAGAGGGGTAGAGAGTTAGAAACATCAATGAGAGAGAATCATCGATCAGCTGCCTCTTGCACACCCCGTACTGGGGATGTGCCCGCAACCAAGGTACATGCCCTTGACCGAAATCGAACCTGGGACCTTTCAGTCCGCAGACCGACGCTCTATCAGATGCTTCCTGCACACCTGCTACTGGGGATCCAGCCCAAAACCCGGGCATGTGCCCTGACTGGAATGGACCCAGAGCCTGCAGCCTGAGAGCAATCTCTATCCACTGAGCCACACGGACCGGGGCTCACTTCTCTTCACTAATATTTAAAACAGCTCCCAGCTGGGCTCACCCCGGAAGACACGCTCTGGTCTGAATGGCCCTGAGCTCCGCTGAGTGGGGGTGGAGTGGGCTCAGGAAGGCCCTGGTGCCAGCGCTGCCCCCTCCTGTCCCTGACGTCAGGCCCAGCCGGACCCAAGTTCCTGCCTGACAACCAGTGACATAACCGTGGCGCTGAGGCTGGCTGCCCACGGCCGCGTCACAGGGAACAGGAGGCGATTAGAGGTTCAATGATGGCGAGAGTGACCGGCCCTAACCAGGACCCCAATAGAAAAAGCCTGTCCCTAACCCTAACCATGACCATGACCATAGCCCCTAACCCTAGCCATAGCCATAACCCAACCCAAACCCTGTCCCTAACCCAACCCAAACCCTGTCCCTAACCCTGTCCCTAACCCAACCCAAACCCTGTCCCTAACCCAGCCTAAACCCTGTCCCTAATCCTATATCCCTAACCCAACCCAAACCTGTCCCTAACCCTATCCCTAACCCAACCCAAACCCTGTCCCTATCCCTAACCCAAACCCTGTCCCTAACCCTATCCCTAACCCAACCCAAACCCTGTCCCTAACCCAGCCTAAACCCTGTCCCTAACCGTATATCCCTAACCCAACCCAAACCCTGTCCCTAACCCAACCCAAACCCTGTCCCTAACCCAGCCTAAACCCTGTCCCTAATCCTATATCCCTAACCCAACCCAAACCCTGTCCCTAACCCTATCCCTAACCCAACCCAAACCCTGTCCCTATCCCTAACCCAACCCAAACCCATCCCTAGCCCTGACACTAACGCATGAAGATGGCCATGGCCGGCAGCAGGGCACTCGGAGGTGTCGGGTCCGTCTCCTGCTTCAGCAGCGTTTGGACGGACAGACCAGGGCGCCCGTTCTTCCCGCTCCGGCCCCTCTCCTGCCCTCATCCGGCCACACCTCAGCACCGCTGCCGGCCGGCCCGCACCCGGGATTTTCTGTCTTCACGCCTCAATGCTGAGCGACCCTGAGCTCCCAGACCCGCCAGAATTATTCCGCCACGTGGAGGCTGCAGGCCATCGCCTGATCGACCTGCCCCTGGGCCTCTACGCGGCCTCGGTCTGGGCTGTATTTCGGCCGTGACCCTGTGGCTCTGGAGGGTTGGCGCTGAGCATCTTAAAAGCCAGCGCGGGGGCCGCCTTCTCTCCCAGGCCCGTGGGGAGCTCCGCCCGGTTCCGCCCGCGCGGCCCCTCCCCGGAGGCCGCCCGGAGCCCCTCCTGGGGAGGAGTGACGCTCCCCAAGACGGCCGGACCCTGACAGCGCAGGCTGCTCCCAGGCTGGGCGGCGGGTCCCTCCGGAAGGCTGGCCCTGGAGGACCACCAGGAGCTCTGGAGCCCAGAGGCCCCTCTGCACCCTCCGTTTCACCCGAGCCTCTTCCCCCAGCTGCTGGCCACTCTTCATCCACCCCGGAGCCCTGTCCCCTGCATCGGACCAAGTGAAACAATAAAGCTTTTTGCAGCAAAATAAATAAATAACCATGACCATAACCCCTAACCCAAACGCTGTCCCTAACCCTAACCCTATCCTTATCCCCAACCCTAACCCTAGCCCTAACCCAAACCCTAACCCTGTCCCTAACGCTAACTCTGACCCAACCCAAACCCTGTCCCTAACCCTAACCCTAACCCTAACCCTAACCCTAACCCTAACCCTAACCCTAACCCTAACACTAACACTAACCCTATCCATTAACCCTAACCCTAACCCTAACCCTAACCCTAACCCAAACGCTGTCCCTAACCCTAACCCTATACCTATCCCCAACCCTAACCCTAGCCCTAACCCTAACCATGTCCCTAACCCTAACGCGGACCCAACCCAAACCCTGTCCCTAACCCTATCCCTAACCATAACCCTAGCCCTAGCCCTAACTCTATCTCTAACCCTATCCCTAACCCTAACCCTAACCCTAGCCCTAACCCAAACCCTAACCCTATCCTTAACCCTGACCCAACCCAAACCCTGACCCTAACCCTAACCCTAACCCAAACCCTAACCCTATCCTTAACCCTGACCCAACCCAAACCCTGACCCTAACCCTAACCCAAACCCTGACCCTAACCCTAACCCTAACCCTAGCCCTAACTCTATCTCTAACCCTATCCCTTAACCCTAACCCTAGCCCTATCCCCAACCCTAACCCTAGCCCTCACCCAAACCCTAACCCTGTCCCTAACGCTGACCCAACCCAAACCCTGACCCTAACCCTATCCCTAAACCTAACCCTAACCCTAACCCTAACCCTAACCCTAACCCTAGCCCTAACCCAAACCCTAACCCTAACCCTAACCCTAACCCTAACCCTAGCCCTAACCCTAACCCTAACCCTAACCCTAACCCTAACCCTAACCCTAACCCTATCCCTATCCCTATCCCCAACCCTAACCCTAGCCCTCACCCAAACCCTAACCCTGTCCCTAACGCTGACCCAACCCAAACCCTGACCCTAACCCTATCCCTAAACCTAACCCTAACCCTAACCCTAACCCTAACCCTAACCCTAGCCCTAACCCAAACCCTAACCCTAACCCTAACCCTAACCCTAACCCTAGCCCTAACCCAAACCCTAACCCTGTCCCTAACCCTAACGCTGACCCAACCCAAACCCTGTCCCTAACTCTAACGCTGACCAAACCCAAAACCCTGTCCCTAACCCTAGCCCTAACTCTATCTCTAACCCTATCCATTAACCCTAACCCTAACCCTAACCCTAACCCTAACCCTAACCATATCCCTATCCCCAACCCTAACCCTAGCCCTAACCCTGTCCTTAACCCTAAAGCTGACCAAACCCAAACCCTAGCCCTAACCCTAACCCTAACCCTAACCCTATCCCTATCCCTAACGCTGACCCAACCCAAACCCTGACCCTAACCCTAACCCCAACCCTAGCCCTAACTCTATCTCTAACCCTAACCCTAACCCTAACCCTATCCCTAACCCTAACCCTAACCCTAACCCTAACCCTAACCCTAACCCTGACCCAACCCAAACCCTGACCCTAACCCTAACCCCAACCCTAGCCCTAACTCTATCTCTAACCCTATCCCTAGCCCTGGCCCTAGCCCTGGCCCTGCCCCTGCCCCTGGCCCTGGCCCAGACACCCCTAAGGGAGGAAAGCGGCCTCCGTGCTGTCTGGGGGAACCCCGTCTTTTCTGGGGAT